TCAGAGTTCAGATATTGCTTCATTCTCTCCACACACGTTGAGGTGATGACGGAACTCACTCACTCATTACATTCATACCTATTGTGCATGTTTTTAGTGGTAGGGGGAAACCGGAGCACCCGGAGGAAACCTACGCAGACACAAGACAAACATGCAAACTCCACTCAGATCCCATAAATGTTGAGAAATGTCCATAAATGTTGTTGAATGTCAAGTGTCCTGGATCATCATCTCGTTTAAGTCGCAACAGGCAACACATGATTGTAAAACCTCAATATCAACGTAAGTCACTTCTGTTCTACATGATTCTTTTATTAATGTTTATTGTCTTTCTAAATCCAGCTTCAACGTCGACCCTTTGCAGGCTTTCACATCCAACCGTAAATTGTAATATTATTGTACATTTGTAATATTTATGTGCAAGCTGACATTATAGACAAAAGGACAGATCGATGGAGCAGGAAATGTCAGATGACCCTGCATGTTCAGGTTCGATCCTGGCCCGAGTTTCCATCACCAACAGCTGATGTCGTTAGCGGATGATACAACATTGTGAATGGCTTTATTAGAAGTGCAAACACACATTAGACAAACCACACAGTCTGATCTTCATGCAAATATACACCCAACTGGCACCGGCACAGCACTGCATGGTCCCAGGCTAGAATTAGGCCGGCTGATTGGTGAGTGACAAGTCAAATTGAATTTCTCAGCAGTGAAAACCCAAGAGGACCCACAGGAGGACACAAGCAAGACTGCACACACAAAGCGGCATGAACAATTGCTAAATAATTGCATTACTTTCACTCAGCTCGCACACATAGATGAACAGAAAGGTCCCTCCTCTCCAATTTAGTGCCAAAACTGTCACTTCAAACGCAAATTCCTCCTCAAAGGCATCTCCTATCTCTTTCTCTCACGCACACACAGACATAGACACACACAGAGACGCACACATGCAGACTCATCCACACACACAGACACACAGGCACAGACGCACACACACGCAGACAGACACACACATATCATGACAGCTAAAACAAATCATCTTCATCATTGCAGACAAGGTGGATTGGTGACAAGGACATTTCTGATTGAGAATCCCGATAATCTTCCAAACACTTTAACTTTCTAAACACAAAAGTTATTTTTGTGCACAGTGGATGGAAATTTAACTGACAGTGTGAAATTGCTACCTGAGTGTATTTTGGAATTTTTTTTGTCTCAACATAAAAGGCTTATTTAGAAGGATTTTTGTTAGTTTGAATTGTTTGCAGCATGTTCTAGTTTACATTTCATTTTCATATAGTGTTTGTTGTAGAAAACATTACAGCTTCCAAATGTCCAATGCATTTTTGGAATTTTGAATTCAGATCAGGTTAGACTCACACTAACCTTTTAACGGCCCCATCTAATAAAAAAAAATGCTGCTTTTTACTATTGCCACCATATATAATCCACTATCGGCCTGCTACTCTCCAAAAAAGGTGAAAACTAGCAGTAACTGAAAGAAGATTTCCAATGTTGAATTATTATATGGTCTGACTTGCTTTACTTACTCAAAGAGTTGCCCTGTGTATGAAAAGCTTATGGGAAGCTACGACTTCTACCATAGAACCATTACTACTACTGCTGCTGCTATTGCTACTAGTATCACTACTACTACTTCTACTTCTACTACTTCCGTTGCTACTGCAACAGCTACTACTGCTACAGCTACTACTACTACTACTACTGCTTCTGCTGCTGCTGCTACTGCTACGACTACTACTACTGCTGCGACTGATGCTGCTGCTACTGCTACGACTACTAATACTACTACTGCTACTACTACTGCTGCTGCTACTGCTACTATTGGTACTACTACTCCTGCGACTGCTGCTGCTGCTACTGCTACGACTACTACTACTGCTGTGACTGATGCTGCTGCTACGACTACTAATACTACTTCTGCTGCTGCTACTGCTACGACTACTACTACTGCTGCGACTGATGCTGCTGCTACTGCTACAACTACTACTACTACTGCTTCTGCTAATACTACAATTGTTGCTTCTGCTACTACTACTACTACTACTACTGCTACTACTACTACTGCTACTACTACTCCTGCGACTGCTGCTGCTGCTACTGCTACGACTACTACTACTGCTGCGACTGATGCTGCTGCTACTGCTACGACTACTACTACTACTGCTGTTGCTGCTACTGCTACGACTACTACTACTGCTGCGACTGATGCTGCTGCTACTGCTACGACTACTACTACTACTGCTGTTGCTGCTACTGCTACGACTACTACTGCTGCGACTGATGCTGCTGCTACTGCTACGACTACTACTACTACTTCTGCTGCTGCTACTGCTACGACTACTACTGCTGCGACTGATGCTACTGCTACGACTACTACTACTGCTGCAACTGATGCTGCTGCTACTGCTACGACTACGACTACTACTACTACTGCTTCTGCTAATACTACAATTGTTGCTTCTGCTACTACTACTACTACTACTGCTACTACTACTACTGCTACTACTACTCCTGCGACTGCTGCTGCTGCTACTGCTACGACTACTACTACTGCTGCGACTGATGCTGCTGCTACTGCTACGACTACTACTGCTGTTGCTGCTATACTGCTACGACTACTACTGCTGCGACTGATGCTGCTGCTACTGCTACGACTACTACTACTGCTGCGACTGATGCTACTGCTACAACTACTACTACTGCTGCAACTGATGCTGCTGCTACTGCTACGACTACTAATACTACTACTCCTGCGACTGCTGCTGCTGCTACTGCTACGACTACTACTACTGCTGTGACTGATGCTGCTGCTACGACTACTAATACTACTTCTGCTGCTGCTACTGCTACAACTACTACTACTGCTGCGACTGATGCTGCTGCTACTGCTACGACTACTACTACTGCTGCGACTGATGCTGCTGCTACTGCTACGACTACTACTACTACTACTACTGCTGCTGCTGCTACGACTACTAATGGGAAAACTTAGTAATACTACTAATTCTACCACTATTACTACTACTACTCCTACTACTATTACTATCACCACACAATTTGAAAGTGCAAAAACACATTAAACGGTTGCAAGATACAAGATATATATAATTTAGGTAATTAGTGTTAATTATTGGAAGCTCAATATCTGGCAATTAACAAAACGTCCAAAGAGAAATATTAGTACAATAGTTTTTACTATGTCAAACTTTAGATTCCACAGTGGAGATATTTATCACCTCTTTAAAAGCAAATTCATTTGGCCTAATTATCTACCCCATAGTCCAATTATGTTAATAGCCTATTGATTATGGATACTTACGATCTCTCTGGTTGAAACATAAGCATCAGAGTGAGCAGCGGCATCCTCGCGTTCTATTTCTTCCACCCGAGGTTCACGCTAAATTTGCTACAACCACTGAAGAATATTAACAATATAACCACATGTTTGACTTGATCTTTGTGACGTTAAATGTGTTTTGTATTTTTAACATAGCGAGGAAACTTTGACCTGGACTTTAGTTGGATCTTTTACTCCAGTGGCTGTTTCACACTTTATTTTACATGCTGAAAATCGCCAGAACATTTCCCAGAGGTCAGTTCTGGATGAATGTTCACACACTCTTACTCTGAAAAGACAGGTGCTTACTGAACCAGATCAACCCACAGTCTCTTACATCTGTTGAACCACTGTCCAACAAAAACAGCCTGCCCTAAATTCTACACGCAACTGTTTTTTCCGTCTAATTTCTACTAATTCAACATACATTAGTTCTCCACATTATTCTGTATTTACTTGCTTGTTTAATCTTATATGACGGTTTATGAAAGCAAAAAGCATTGTTAGAATACAAAGACAAAGCAGTACATTTATTTCAAAAGGTACATATTTATCTCCTTTGTTACGTTATTTTATATGGCTGATATAATTATTAAGTCGGAAGAGCTACTCCTAAATGCTAACCTATGGATGACAGACACTAGGACTGTACCATTCACAAAATATCTAATATTTCTGACCAACAATGGGATTGCGGTGCGGTTTTCATTGTGGTGCATGTTGAAAAAGTCAAATTTTCAGTAAAAATGTGAACGTATAAGCGATTGCCTACACAAGTCTCTCACATTTCAGAATAGGGTTATAGCGTTCTAACTTACCGCACAACCATTTCAAGATTCACCAAAAAAATCACCTGAGAAGAGGTCGTTTTCATCTTTTCAACAAAATTCTTAGACCTGAGTTGTGCATCACATTTTGACAGTTTTGGCTTCTATCATGGATTTGAAATGAGAAAAACCTGCATGACAAGAAGACAAAAGATACTTGCATGTTCCATTGACAAATCTCCAACTCAAGAGACATTTTCCCAAATTCAAGTAATTTTTTTCTAAGCTTTAGTCCCGTTTTTGCAAATAACTACTAAAATAATTGCCGTTTTGCGATTTGCAAAAACAGTGATTTCAGTTGGATTGATAGTAATCATACACCTCTAATAGACACTAAAATATATTCAGAATCCAACTCCAAAAATATCAGCTTTAGTTTTACACTTTGCCATTTTTAATTGCAATATTTAGTAGTTCAGGATACAAGTGACAGTCATACAATGTATTTCTGTATTTCATCTTAAGATATGAATCTATGACAGGCTCATTACACACACAGTGGGATATATTGAGCTTGTATTTGTTATAATGTTGCTAATTATGGCTCGCAGCTTTTAAAAACCTCAAGTTAAAAATTATAGAATATTTTGAAAATGAACTGTAATCCATCATCATAATAAATCATCAAAACAAAAAGAGCCTTGATATATTTCACTTTGCATGTAATGAATCTATAACATATAATTATTCACACTTTACGCTAATTTACAGAAAAAACTTAACTTGTAAACGATATCTGAACACTTTTTTTTATTTCCACCTGTATATGGAAAGCTCTACCCCCTTCTGCTGCCTGTCTTTTCTCACAGCGTGTACAGAGGAGTGTGCCTCTGAGCTCCTCGGTACATACCGGGCGGCTGCCTCTGAAACGCATGTAAGTCTTTAACTGTGCCTCGGCTGCTCCCTCAGGCACAGTCTTTAAGCCGTCTCTTCTCTCCTCTCTCCTTTTATTGAAACATAAGGCTGGCGTGGGGCTGCTTTACAGGGGGTGGTGAGGGTCAAACTCTGCTCATGTGCATATATATACGATCACAACCACTGTCCTTGGGCCCTGAGGCGCAGTATACATCAAGTATACGGGAGCAGTAACAGCGAATGATGTGCTCAGAAAGAGATGTTCGTCATAAAGCGCACGGGGGGTGAGGCTTCCGAAAGATCAAAGTGGCATTATACAATTAATTCATATCTACAGAAGAGCAGCGGGTTCTCCCAGTGACCGCCTTTAAGTGTGGCTGCATTTAAATTACAGCCCAAACATCCGACACCCTACCGTATTATTTTATACTATTATAAAATACTATCATTTTCAGGTTAATTAAAGCTGGGGAATGTGCCTTCGAGAGTCCAAAATATGTCATGCAATCTATATAATTAGTTACTCAAAGCAGTTTGCATCCATCACTAGTTTTCTTATTTATTTTCGGGTTCTGTCATATCTTTAGCTTCAGCGTAATCAGTGAAAAACAGAGTACCGACACTCACAAGATCAAATGTGAAAATATTAGATTGTGGTCTGATTTGTTCATAATATGTTACTGAAGCAAGATTCGTACAGTTGGAGATAAACAAAGTGTATTGATGAAACAATAACAAAGGTTAGCTACTCCAGATTTGTTCTGTTATTTTAGCTACTACAGATTTAAGGACAGGATTCGTTATATAATGGTTAATGGCAGCCCACCATCCCTTACTTCTAAGTCCAATCAACATCCACAGTTTGATTTCACTGTCACTGAATCTTAAAAAGCACATTTGAATGCAACCTATAAGTTATTTTTTGTTCAAATTACGAAGTATCTTTCCCATTGCACTCCATATCGATTGAAGAATGGCATCAGAAAATGTCCTCACTGTGTCTGATATTTCCATTGAAAAAGTCTATTCCCAGGTGGTTCATTTGACTGCTCTTTCCGTTGACTGTATTTATCTGCTATTCTCCAAGTCTGCCTTTTGAAAACACTCTCCTAAAAAGCGGCTTAGTAAAGCAGTGGTGGTAATCAGACAGAATAGAAAATAGGGAAGGCTGAGAAAATCTCCAAAAGTAACAGCTATGCCGCATTCGAAAGAAACTTCAAATGAGAAAACAAATTACCCGCAATATTTCTCGTCTAAGAGAAAGATGGAGACGGATGATCTGAGCTTCAAGGCTCAACTTGGACATTTCTGAGTGAACTCCAAACCTTTGCAGGTTGCTATCTGACTCGACATGCACATGCTTTCGTCTCCAGAGAAATGTCATCACACTTCTGTCAACCCCACATCCTTCATAAAGGGTAAAAGGCCTCAAGGCGTTGGATTTATGGACGTTCCATGGTCATCCGTCAACATCTGTCATATAACTGAAGAGTTAACCATTTTTGGATCATGAAAACGGAAATATGTTTAGCATTTTTCCACATGTTCTTTGATTAGATTATACAAAAAGACTCATAACATGCACATTCTAGTCGAAAGAAGGCGAAAACCTCCAAAAAGCATCTAAACTATTATATGAATTTAAAGACCCATCAGTCAAAAGTCACTTAAGAGTTTCTCTGTGATGTGGTCCAAATTCTCAAAGTAGGATCAAAGGGGCTGCATTGAATATGAAAATAGGAATTCTGGGTAAATCTTCACACCCTGGGAATAAAATTAATTCAAATTGTGCCCTGTTTACACACACCCACACACTCCCCTCAACCGCTGTGTTTTTAATTACGGCTCCCATGTTGCATTGCATTACCGCGAGCCTCTTAAAGCACATCGCACATCTTTCTCACATAAAATAACCCCACATAAACAGTGCGCCGTATTTCAGAGTGGCACTTTTACAGCGCGCCCGTGGACACACACTCGAGCACGGCCGCCTTACCGGAGTGAAGTTCATGACTTTGAGGATCCAGATGGTCAGGGCCAGGTTGACGATCATGGTGACGAGGAGGAGCAGGATGAAGAAGTACAAGCAGCGTTTTCTCCAGCCGTAGATGCCCACCGTGGGGTAGACCTGGGTTCCGCACACCGACGCCGCCCGCTGGTGGAGCGGGTTGGGCTGCGCCGCCAGGATGTACTGCTCCTGCGTCATCTGTGGAGAGATTCGGCTAACATTTAGTTCATTCTACTCAAATATAAAGGTTTCAATGCAAGCAAGTTCAATGTGGTTAAGTTTACGCTGAAATGCTTTTCCTGTTTGAAAGGACAATTGGATGCCAGTAATTGGAAAGTCAACAAAATACCAAACATTTTAGAGTTCCAATACATTCCTTAACATTTTCAACGCATACTACCCTTAAATTATGGTTCTCTTCAGACAAACTTTTAGTATTTCTTCATACATCTACAATTCCAGGCCCAAAAGCTTGGAGGTGAAGCCAAAAACTCACACTTATTTAACCCTGAAGATATTCACCCATTCACAATTTTATAAGACCAGTTGGGAAAAAGAAATAATTCACCAGTATTTCCTCAAAAGGAAGCAATTTGACCTCCAGCCATAGTCAGAAAGACATTTGTGAATGTAGCTATTTCCTCTTTCTCAAAACAGTTTGGTTCCATCACACGTTTTCTTATGTATGTAATTTGGCCTCTAGATCACATCTTTGAATCAGCTTTTACAGACAGAAAAGTGAAAATAGACGACCACCCTCACTCGGCTAAAGTTGGCAAAAGATGTTTTATAGTAAGATTAAAAAATCTTTTTATGATATAATTTCTGTAAAAGATGCTATTTTTTTTAACCAAAAACTCTGTTGGGACAATCAACTGTCATGGTTTTAGTTTATTTCCTGTTTATTTGGGAATTTGTCAACCTCTGTCTCCATTAGTTGTACTTCCTGTTTTCTGATGACCCATAGACTGTAAAAATGAACGGAAGTAGTCACGCCTATCTTCGCCGTTCTAACTAATGGGCCAAAAAATGTGCTCTACTGGAGCTATCCAAAATGGCCGCGAGTGGTCCCGCTCACAAGAAAATTGTGAAAAAACGCATCTGCGCATGCGTCAGCTGGCGAGAGCTCCATTCATTTGAACGAGAGACTTAAAAAATTCACAGCAAGTAAACTGGAGTGGTCCAAAAAAATCCACCCCCCTCAGCATTGACACACATGTGGAACGGAGCTTTGGACCAAGAGCCAACTTTTGGACCATCCTGTAAAGACGTTTTCGAGAGGTCAGCTAATGCTATATGTTAGCATTGGATAATTCTTGTTCTGGGTCCACCCCCATCGGCCCGGGGTGGTATTGCAAGCATGTCAGCGCACGTCATTTTGGCCACTTTTGAGCCGGGACCCGCCCCCACTGGGATCACCTGTGTCTTTAGTTGTACTTCCTGTTTCCTGATTACCGGCCCCGCCCTCATGTGTATCACATGTGTCTCTTTAGTCTTGTATTTACAATAAACCCTGTGTATTCTTTCACTCTCTGTTCCATCATTGTCATCCCACTCCTGCTTTACTTCTCGTCGTTGGTCTTTGTTTATTTTGACTTTTTATTAAAACCATTTCTTTTTCTGCAGTTCTGCACTTTGGGCTCATTTCCTTTTGCCAACACGACAACAACATGTATTTGTCACGTAGCAAAATAAGTCAGGTACCCCAGAAATAGAATAAGATCAAGCCAGGGATGTGTGTGTGCAGGGAGCGGAGGTGATGCTGCGGGGAAATGCCAAAAGGGACTGACCAAACAGCAATAAAAGCAGATGTGGCTGAAGCGGTGAAGTGTGCGTCGTCAAGTGGTGACAGATGCAAGTGAAAGAGACAGAAAGAGGCCAGATAAGCAGCGGCGGCGGCGGCGGACCCGTGTTTGTACGAGCCCAGAGTCATTGGTGGCAAAAGATACGGACACTAGCCAGAAGGCACCGCTCTATCTGTCCATCTTCGCCCACTATCTCCGGCTATCACTAAACCATTCTATCTACCTCCCTTTTCTGCACTTCTTTCTGCACTCTCTAATTCACTCGCTATCTTCTGCATGCACCCTGGTCTCTCTTTATCGGCCCTTCACTCTCGCTCGCATTACGACTTTATTTGCTGAGGCTGCATGACCTTAACGGCTCACTGATTGTTGTAGTTTTTTTTTTTTATTCACTCTTCATTCTGCAACAGTTTTTATATTTTCTTCCCTCAATGTGTCGTTGCTCGATTAACACCGACCAAGCTCAATTTAAAAAGTAAAAAATGCTGACCTCTTGCTTACGGTGCAGGAAGCCACAATGCAAAGCTGTAGACTATATTATTGAAAATGCGTACACTATTTAACAATGATTGGTTTCTAAGGGTACTTTTACAAAGGATTTTAAAGATAAGAAGTGACCTAAAGGGTTTGCAATTTACTAGAAATCCTGGTGAAGTCAATACATTATATAAATAAAGCCTATTTGTATATAACAATTAATGAAAAAGGGAAATCAAAGTAATTTACAAAACAATACAGGAAATATCAAAATCATACACTGACATTTTGAAATCCTATGACATACAGTATGACCAGTCTCACATTTTCAGGAAGACTTTTCCGGATTTTACCTGCTTAAAACATAAATGCTGCTTCCCCATGTTTAGTCCTGACTCTGGGCACCAACAGGAGGCCAGTCCCTGTGCTCCTCAGGGAAAGTCCCAGAAGGATGGCAGTCCCTATGCTCCTAAGAGTCCTAGCAGGAGGCCACTCCCTGTGCTCCTCAGAGTCCTAGCAGGAGGCCAGTCCCTGTGCTCCTCAGAGTCCTAGCAGGAGGCCAGCCCTTGTGCTCCTTATACGAGCAGGAGGCCAGTCCCTGTGCTCCTCAGGCAAAGTCCTAGAAGGAGGGCAGTCCCTGTGCTCCTCAGAGTCTGAATTGGTTTATATAGCACTAATAAGTCACAGCTGTACTTTCATTTTATTATATGTCCCCAATAGGGCAGTTAGTTTGCAGTATAAAGGGATACATTTAAAACACAACAGAAGAAAAACATCATACATTCAAAAAAGTCCATCAAGGAGTCATTGCCTGTTAACATGGAATAGAACAAGGAAAAAAACCATTTCCCCCAACACAGGAGCCAGGGCCTGTCACTCCTTCTATGGTCAGAGTTTAGAAAAGAGATGGCCACAGTGCTCTAAAGTCTGAAGAAAAGAAGGAAGTGTAGTATTGATGAAGAATATGGAGCACGGAGCGAGTGGTGGGAGAGTGGTGTATGATCAGAAAGTGTCTGGGCCTGTGTTTTTTTGTCTGCATGTGTGAGTGTTTTGTGTTGAATGAGTGAGAAGGGTCGGAGCCAAACAAACATGTGCTCTGCTTCACTGTGAATTGTGAACTGTGTGTGTTTTTGTATCCTTTTTAGTGTATCTGCAAATGTAATAGTGAAACTTGTGACAAAATATGCTGAAAATTTTAATGTTTGTGAATTTGCTAGTGGGAGTAGAGCAACACTCTCCACTTATCAGCGTTTTTTTTTTTCTCACAGAGACAAAAAACTATGCATCTGCCGCTGCATCTGCTCAGGCGGTGCAGACCCACTGAGCATGAATCAATGGCAAGACATTGGCACGAGCTGCTAATCATTCGCCACAGAAGTTAATACATTCAGATAATGTGATTCAGTCAAACCAGATTATTCAGCAGCCGTCCATCTCTGCTCCTCTGAGGAAATCCAAAAAATGGAAATAACTTTCTTGATTGGTGCTGTTAAAGTGCTTTGTGTAAGCGGGTGAATAAATGTGACTATGTTTTGACTCTTGGGTACTCAGCTTGCTTCCAAATCAAAGTAACAAAATAAAAATGCTGGTTTCGGAGCGTTACGAAAAACATTTATCAATCGTAAAAACATGATGCCCTTTAGGAAAGTAAAATCAGAAAAGAAAGTAAAGAACGACATAATGGGAGTCACAATCACAGAGCGCAGCAATAAAGAAAAACATATATAGATGTATACATTTGCATAAGAACTACGGTGTTTCAGTCCCATGTGAATCTCCAGGCCTGTGAAAAAAAAAAAAAATCTGCCTAAATATGTAAATTAGGTAAATCAGCTGCATACATTACAAAAACTATGACACTGCGGAGAAGCAGATCAAGTTTATTAATGTAACTTTGTGTTTTGACATCTTGAGATTGCAGACGGCTGCATCAGACAGCTCATATGAACGAGAGCTGTAAAAGTGTGGATATTACCAACAGTACCTTACAGTATATCTGTTGATTTTCATCTTTACTAAATGCTGTTGTTGCATTTCAATAAACCAAAAATAGTTTATTAAAATCACTCCCATTTTTTCTTTTATATATTGAGGAGATTAAAGATGTTATACCAGATTTATTTTGCAACAAGTTCATAAAAACGCGTATTACTACATACAAGTTGCATTAAAATCTGTAATTTAATTGAAAAGTTGAGCTCATTGATTCAGCTTTGAATGAATTCAGGCCGTAAAAAATGCTGAGTAGAGACTTAGCGTGACGCTCGTTCTCCTCCACTCACAGAACGAGGAGTGGCGCTGTTTTGAACAGGTCCCTCCTCTAGCATCTGCAGCGCAGGTAAACACAGCAGAATGTTAGCAGAAAGTGGCTATAACTCCTCTTGCTGTAACACAGCAAAACAGCCCAAACGATGCAACAGTGAGGAAGAGAAGAGGGAATTAAAGCCAAAAAATGATCAGAGAAGCATAAGCTTACATTGTATCCTCTGGAGAGACCTGCGGGACCGCCACGGACTATCTACAGTATGCTCGGACAATCTATGCTCGGACTACATTTTGACGTGAAACTAGCGGTAATCTTTCAGTTATATTATTTGTTAGCAGTGCGTTTCTTTTGTACCATTTCATCAGTGATTGTTGTACAGCTTACAAGAAGTTGCGCTCATACTAATGTTTGCTTATGTATCAGATCGCAAATAAAACTAGATGGCTCCGTGGAAGGAGAGCGTACTGTAGGGGAAATGAGAAGCCTGTGGTGAGTTGAGGGGCGATGCTAAACATTCAAACTGAAAAAACCTTGCAGAGCTCCTTTAACACAAACAACTCAGAAGTCATGGGAATTTTATGATTTTTAACACGTCCCAGTGAAAATGAACTGTTATAGTAATAACTGAATAGTTTTCTTTGAGAGTTCAG